CACAAATTCCAATTACGAAAAATTTAAATAAAAAGTCAAATTTTTATTATTTATTTACTTGAAGCGGAATTTATCAAAAATTTTTTTATAGTTAAAAAGTTGCTATTGTCTCGACATTTCTGTTTGGAAGAAACCGTCTAAGTTTTTGACAAAAAATATTGTCGCATGTGACAAGCCATGATTGATGTATAATTCATAAAATTCACGGGGCAATCGTCACACACAAGCTAATAATAAACACCGTTATGTTCCCCGAGGCCTTTTTCCAGTAAATGAAAGCTCCATTTTACACGCACGACCTGACATTATCTCGAGCGCCATAACCGAGCCTACCCTCTTGTAGGGTAATTATGACCCGCTCTTAAATTCCTCCCTTTTAGGCTCCGGCATGAGCGTACTCAGCATGGTTGCCTTCCGGATGGTGACGCAGGAGGGTCTGCGGAAGTGTTTGAAGATCTACGAGGAGTTAAACAGGAGCAGCGAAAAGGCCGCGATGCCTTTGGCGGCGTCCACGACGTCGACGATGACGACGATGACATCGGATGTAAAGTCGTCGGCGAACAGCAGTAGATCAGCCAAGAGACGAGTCAGACGGAAAAAATTGAAGGACTCTAGACGAGGCGAGGAAACCGTCGACGTGCAAAAAGAGGAGGGCGCAAAAGAATCCCGCGACGATGAGACTGTCGACGTAACACCGTACAATCTCGTGACGCACGCAGATAGACGCACAAGCAAGGATTTCCTGGAGCGATCGCTGATGGCGGCCTTTCTGCTCAGGTGCCTGCAAAGAATCGGCTTCTTCGCGCAGCCTACGCCGGACAACGGTACTCATCATCGGCAGTCTTTATTAACGCGCCGGTTGCTCCTCTCTTCGCGGGTATTTAACTTCGGGATAATTTGCCGAATCTCTCTTTGGGGGAAAAAAAATGTGCTTGCTCGCACGCGCGGAGGTCGAACTTTCGATTCAGCACATCGTCGGCGCGTGGCGCGGCGCAGCAACCACATCCGCCGCTCGTGAGCCATAAAATCGTAATTTCAACAATGTTCAGCGGGAAGAGTCTCGCGAAAAGTTTTTGCCGAGAAGCCGAGAATGGGACGGGGGGGGGGGTGCGGGGGGGAGGGAGGGGGCGGGGAAGGAAGGAGGCGGGAGGGAATGGCGCAAAACGCGGAGAGCTGCACTAATATCAGGAACTTTGGCGAGTTCGCAGAGATCCCGGGCACCGAGGAGATCATCGTGGCCGCCCTGCTGCTGAGGAACCTGCAGCTGCTCCAATTCAACGCCCACGAGTTCTTCGAGACGCGGCTGGGCGCGGAGCATCAATTCCACGGCAGCCGTCCGGTCTACCTCGGCGTGGCGATTTATCCCACGGTGGCTCGCTTCAATCACGACTGCTATCCCGCAGTGACGAGGTAAGAAAACGAGAAAGAGGGAGAGAGGGAAAAAGGAGGAGAGAGATGGGAGACGCTTTTCTCGGGTACACTTTGCGGATCTTCTGAAAAATAAGGTTTAGTAAGAAAACAGAAGTGAGATTTAATAAAATCTCGCTTCGAGTAATTGGTTCGTTGTTTTTATTAGATACTTTATTGTTTTTATCGGCTCGCGCACTGTTTTTGTGCTGCGGGTAAAAATATTTTATTTTTGTCGAATTTTTTTTCGTCAATGTAAATAGCTAGAAATTAGTTTCTTTATTTGATATTTTCGCGAAAACTCCCCCTTCTGTACAAAATATTTGATTATAACTTCGCTTCCTGCGTATGCCAGGCTTCACACATTACGCACGTGGATTCGCCGAACTTTGCGCCCCAGCAAAGTGCGCGTGACTCGCCTTGATTTGCATATTAATAACGTAGTCGCGTAAAAGAGCAGACCGCCGCGAGAGATGAGAGCTAATTAGTATAACCAGACCGTACACAATCGCCTGTATCATCGCGCGAATTATTAATTGACCCGCGACCGCTCGCAGTCCGTTATAAGTGAAGAAGCTCTCCCTCGAAGTACTTGAGCGAATCTCGGCGCGCTCTCTTTGCCGCCGAAAACCTCTTGTTCTTCGTGAAAAGCATACGTGCACGCGGAAGGAAAAAGCACGCGGCAATTTTTTGCATCAAATGTATTTTAATTCGTAAACTGTCAAATCGTGCTTGATCGGGAGCTATTTGTTAATGTCCAACCAAGTTATTTAATCTGCCAGAGCGTAATTAAGGAAGGACGTGTAATTGGAATTAAGTGGTTCTTCTGGAGAATTCCGCATTTACGGATATATCCGCGATATATACTGCCGGAGAATACGGCGAATCTATTAACGCTAATTAAGTACGTGGATTTGCGTGTATTTCGAGTAGCACTAAAGCGCGTCTGCGATGACTTCGTGGGTTGCGGCCATTATACGCGAAATTACACCAGCGCGCTCATTATTCCGTAATGTCACAAACTCGTCTGCATTATTCGGCGCAGGCAGGAAATTGTTATTGTTCACGTTATTAACGTCGCCAGGCTCATTGTGATGATTACGATTATTATTTCATTGCGAAGTAATTGCGTTGCCCTTCCCGTTTTTCGATTTATTAACTTGTATACTTGTATAATAACTTCCGTTTCGCGGATGGCAACTGGTTAACAAACTCTCGGCACAATATTTGAACGCGTTTGTCATCATCAGCGCGATTTGATTAAAGGAAATATCCAAATAATTAAAAAAGGAAAAAGCTGTGCTGCGTGTATACGCGAAAAAAAAATTAAAATAACAACACAGTATATATATTGAATAAAATAAAATTTTTTTACACCTTTTGAACATATTTTTATAAATATTACTTATATAAAATATAAAGTGTGACGAAAAAATAAAGCAATAAAATTATATATTTAAAAATATAAATTATTTAAACTTGGGAAATTAATTAATATATTTTGTATAATTTTTTAGAAATGTGTTTATCACGTTTTTTTAGAGAAGGCAAGTTTAATTTATTAATTACATTCTTCGGTGTATTACTTAACGATTCCTTGAAGTAAGATTAATTAGTTTTTAATTAGCTAAATTCAGTTACTATACACTCGACAGGATCTGTATACCCAGCAGCGAACGTGTTAATTTTTATTATAATACTAACGTGCATTAATTAACGCGGGAGAATTACTGGAATTCTCTTTTTACTGGATCACAGATACTTCGTCGGCCGGCATATCGTAATAAGGGCGGTCCGCGGTCTGCGGCCGGATGACGTTATTGCCGAAAACTACGGACCGATATTCACGAAGCGGACGCTCGCCGAGCGTCAAAGGACGCTGGCGGGTAGGTATTGGTTCCGGTGCACATGCAGGGCCTGCCGAGAGGATTGGCCGCGCTTTGAGAATCTGACGAACGACTCCGTCAGGCTGAGGTAAGTCCGTTTAAATTCTCCGACATCAAGCTCATTAACGAAGTAATTTAATTTAACTAAATGAACGGTCTTATCGGTACACGACCGGTATTCATTCTCACCTCCTTCCAAGTTTCCTTCCGGTTGAACATCTCCTTGTCGACAGATTAGCGACATAATATCGATCGGAGATAATGCAAAATAATCTATTAACTACACACTTCTTCGCAAACACGCATCTATTAACTACATAATCCATTACTACATATTTCGCGTTACCTATCCGAAAATGTTCAAAGAAAGCAATAACAATATAAATAGTTTTACGTAAATTTGAGAAAAATGAGATTGACATTTGAAAAGAAAAAGAAAAAAGATGATTGGATTTTATTTATTGTTATTTGTGATAATCCAGATAATAGAATCGTAACTCAACTTATGCATACAATTCCTTTATTGTCTCACAGCGTGTGAAAAAAATCAGATCTCTTCTTTAAGCAGGCGCCGCGGAAGTATTTTTCATCTGAGGGGACAAAATTTATAAAGGGGATACATAATACATTCATAATATGTATACATACAAAATCAGTTCAATTAAAGTACACGAGGAGAATACACGAGTAACGAAGAAAATTAAGCGCATTAAATTAATTAGAACAAAATATTTTTCGTACATTTATACTACCCACTAAGTGGTCTATTATTTTTCATCTGAGGGGGCAAAATTTATAAAGGGGATACATAATACATTCATAATATGTATATATATATATATATAAATTCAGTTCATTCAATATGTATACATATATGTATGTAACTCCATTCAAACACTAAATAATAGGAATTATCCCCCTGAATTATCTCTGGGTGGGCGGTCGCCCCCTCTGCCCCCCCCCGGTTCCGCGGCGCCTGTCTTTAAGAGATTCAAAAGTTTAAGAATTAATTTCCGCGTTTAAAGAATTAATTCTACTATTAAAATATTTTCTTAAAAAAAAAAATCAAGAAACGTTGAAAAACCATGATAACGAGTAAAAGTGCAAAAATGTCAAGCGAGAAGAATAACAAGCGACCAAGAGAGAAAGAGAGTAGATATTTTTCGAGATCGTTAAAAACCGCAAGTCCCAACGAAGCGAGTCCCTCAAAGGGAAAGAAGCGCCGTAAGGATGCTCCTGTCATCAAAGATACTTCTCTGTCGTGAGATTCTTATACCAACTCCACAACGACACGGCCAGGTGCTTTTATCAGTTTCGCGGTAATTTTCTGGGTAGTGGCACTACACCACGTTACGTAGCGTCTTTTACGTCAACAGCGAACGTAGGGCTCTGTGTCGACAGTATTTCTTCCCCAGAGAAATAAACCAAGGATTTCTCTTTGAGAGCGTCCGACCGTCAGACAAAAGTTCAATTACTAGTAATTATTTTATCACCACGCTAACGTAAATGTAATTCTTCTAAAAGTGTACCTTCGCTCTGATGTTTCACCAATTTTTCTCGACAATTTAATACTGCGTGTATGATAAAGGTTTCCTTTATTTATACATCTTTCTGATATTCCTTGAGTATAAAATATTACTTTTCATTTAAAAGTGCATCTCTTTTTAATTATTAAACTTGCAGAGATAGATACCGTACATAATTGACGCAAAAATTAATTCAGACACTTTTTATTTAGTAATATCTATCGATTTACATCTATATCTGTGAAGATACCACGCGTTCGTCAAAATTGAAATGGCACTTATATCAAAATTTAATGCTAGCTTAATCTATCCAATTTTAGCGTTTCAATTATTTTGCAGATTAATTTGCGATTAAATTAATGATAAAGAGATTTTCTTTTTATATAAGATTGATTTTTTTTAGTGAAAATGTCGAGTATCGCTAATAACTTCCGAATTATAAGGGATTAAAAAAGAGAGGTTTATCGTGAACTTCAATAAGCCAGATGATTAGCAAAATTATCTTCTTCTAATTTCATAATTTTAACAGAATTTTTGATTGAGAGAAATTTTAATTTAATAAAATTTACGTCAAAAATTAAAAATTATTATAAATCATAGTCCTTCTTGACATTTTCGCTAAAGTAAAATTAACATTAAATGACAATTATTGCGTTAAATTATTCGATTCAGAACTTTGTGGAGATTATTTGTTTCAAGCTTTCTATATGTATATAGTTTGCTAATAATTTTTTATCGGCGTTTCCGTCATTATAACGAAGTTCTCGACGCGAGAAAATCGCGAAATATTCTTTTGACGTTTTTCCCCGAGGTGTCCTACGGCAGGATGCAGCCGACTGCATTCGCGAGCCCAGCAGCGGCCGGGTAAGCTGATAAAATGTCTGGGCTGTCAGAAGAAAATCTGCTTGGAGGATCGGCTCGCATGTCTGCGAGAGTGCGAGGCGCTCTACGAACGTGGATTGGCCAGCATGCAGGACGAAAGGGTCGACGAGGCGATCGGGACGCTGTGCGACGCTCTGAAGAGATTTCACCAAGTCGCCTATCCACCACACCGGGACACACACCTGGCCGAAATTGCTTTAAGCTCCTGTCTGGCTGACTACGGGAATACTTGGCGACCGGCGGCGGCACTTAGAAGCGCGTAGAAGGAGAAGGAAACTGCCGCCGGAACTTGGACAGATCCCGGTAACCACGCAGGTCAACCACGATGATTCGTAAATGTCCTTGGAATGAAAGACGAGTGCGTTTGATCATAGCGTAGACGTTGTTCGGGCCGATTTGATCGGCGCACTGTGATATTTTATCATATATAGCCAATCGATATTTTAAATCACATTTTGGACGAAAATTTGTAGCGTTTGCAAAGCGTTATTGTTTTACCTGTTTTCTTTTGACAATTTTACGCGCTGATTTATCGAACGATTCAATTGTTAGCTTGAGGAAATTGAAGTAATTAGTATAAATGTACAATATATTTGTGCAATATAGAAATGTTAATTAATAAAAGTTTAGAAGTAACAAAAATAATTTTTATCAAAATTTTTTATTATATTTTATATTCCGATTCGGACAATCGAGACCATCCGGTGTGCGCACTCGAGATTTTATTTTTCGTCTAGTTTTTTTTTTTTTTTTTTTCTTCAGATTGCGACTCGGTTTCTACATCCGCGCGAAAGGACCGTTATCTTTATGGCCTTTATAAAATCGCCGGGACCCAAGTAACGCAATAAAGCTCCCGCGGGAAGATAGAATAAAAGGATTCCGCCCATCGTGCGAACAGCGTCACGTCGCGGACATAACGTCGTACAATTTGCACGCGTTATTACCCGCACACATACGCACATATACGTGCTACGGTATCGGCCGGTTATGTCCATGACGATTATCGGCACAGCGGGAAACAAATAGCGATAATTGATATTGCAAGCGTGAACCGGCTGCACGAATAGATGTTCGTGTCGGCCGAATTAGCGGCCGAGGCGTTTACCGAGGCGTCGACCTGGAAGCCAACTTTTTTAATTTCGCCCGCACACAGCGCGCGAGCAATCAATTCGGTTCATCCGAGATCTCTCCTGATTGCCTTTACTGGTGTAGCTCTGTGTGTGTGTGTGTGTGTGTGTGTGTATGTGTGTGTGGTTGTCTGTACGGTGTATCGTATCTCTATCTCTGAAAACATACGGTCGGGAGTTTCTGATAAGTCGCACACTTTTTGCTCTCGCATCTTCATTTATTCGACGGTAAGAAACATGGAATTTTGCCAGTCTTAACCGTTCAGAAATTCTATTGTCCCATCAATGTCAAAAAATATTTATAACAAATTTATAACGCTAGGAATTATTTATAATAGGATACTAAAGTGACATTTTTTGTACAGTTTTTCCCAGAAATGATTCTTTTGTTTAGATAATAATAGTCGAAAATGTGTTATAAATTATCATTCATGTTTTCTGAAATAACAAATTTTTCAGATATGCAAGCGACGTTCTTGTGTGATACTGTACATATGCCATCGCATGCGGCAAAAACTGCATACAAACTGCCGAATCTGCACAGTGGTTGCGTGCTCACGTATTGTATATATTACATATCCGGATTAAAGGATATTTTCAAATCCGACACAACCCGTTGAGTCTTTTCAACATTTGCTGTGGAGAAATGCGCGTAACGATTGCTGTCTTACAACGACGTAGCCGTTTATTCTCGAGAGCGCAACGCAAATACACTGGAAATACGGTAAGTGTACCAGCGAGTTCTAAAATTATTTTTCTGTAACCATATAAAATATTATAAGTATATTTTTTCCAAATATATGAGCTTGATAGTATTATTTAATTCTTATGCGACTATAGTCAACGTTATACATATAAGTTTTCTACAGCTAGTGATTATTCACTGATAACATAATCAGTTTAACTCTTCATTTAATAGTTGTTTTACCATAAAATCAGATACTTAAATATAAAAAAAAGAGTAATTTTAATTTAAACCATCAATTTATCAAATATTACAAAACATAAAATTTTGAAATTCAGGAAATAAAGAATTATGTAGAGTTTAATATTTTTGTGTTACATATAAAATATTTACAGTTAATTAAAGTTATCAAAACTTGGCGATAAATAAAGAGATAATACGCATTTTTGGATACTGATATTCCAAATAAATTCAAATTTTAATAAAATATGAATTATATGTTTCACGTCAAAATAATATAGCACGAAGACACATGACTAAAATGAAAGTTTTATTTAGCCAAGAGTTTGAATTATCCAGGATTATTCTGTAACTCAGCATTCTTCGGTGCATCTATTCCCGCGTATCGGTGTAAAAATTCTCAAGGAAAACCTGCAAGTTTAAGGCGAAGAGACCCTCCGAAAGCAGATTCCGAAATCAAAGGCGACGTATTCCCCGTGCGCACAGACTCGCTATTCGTAGATAATGCACTTCGCAGTCGATAGATCCAAAATTTAACGTATTGTTAAACCATGTCCGGCGAGAGCAGCTCGATGCGCGCACACGTGTAATTTATAATTCATAATGATGAATCTGTAATATATATCGAAGCGCCGGACCCGTTGTGTCAATTATGGTACCCCGGTACGTACGGTTACTGCTGATCGTTGTTGTATGAGATTAACGCCGGGACGGAAAATTAATTTATATACCCCCGCGAAAGGTGATTAAGTGCCGCCGTAATGCCGGTATTATTGGAAATTCTCCATGACGGGAATGCATTATACCTATAACTTCTCCGGAGGGCTTCGATTAACATCATCGCGCGTGAAATTGCGCGTATATGAAATGCGTACGTACAATTCCGCCCCGCCGAGAACTCATCAATCACATTGCTTCAGAGATTCTTTTCCGGCGGAAAAATAAACAGCAAATTAAATATTTGATTTATATAGGCAGCAACGAATTTGCAGCATTTCATTTGCGTTCGTGCAGTTTTATTTGGAGTGCGCTGTGTGAATTTTCCGGAATTTTATGAAAGATAAAATGAGATGCGGATAATTGAATAAAATCTATCGACGTATTTACATTTCCGTGATTAATTTTAAAATTTAATTTTTGTGCTTTCTCGTCCGTCACTCTTGAATTCTCTCCTGCTCTTAAAACCACTCGACCCGTGCAATCGGAATCATTGTTATGTGTAATTGTAAATTTCTTGCTAATATTTTTGCAATCGCGCGCTCTCAAAGTGTATTGTTTATAATAATAATTATTTACATGATGATATTTAATAGAGAGGCAAGGAAGAGGAATAAACGGGGAATCGAAGTAAACAAAACGCACATTTAATTTATAACTTTTGCAATTTTTTTGGTAGATTTATTTTTTATAATGCACATGTTTCTCGTGAAAAAATTAAATTCCGTGTATGAAATTAGCATTTAGTGTTTCACGTTTCGGTACAAAATTTATTATGGGGAAGGGGCAGTCGACGGACGACTTTATCTCGGGACACGCTCGGACGACGACAACGACAACGTCGTGTCCGGCGTCCGTCGAAGTCTTTTGATAGATTTTCTCGTCTTTCTTTTTTTTTTCTTTTGTCTCTCGAAAGTTGAACGTCTCCTCGATCGGGATTTCGGTTCTTTTTCCCCCAGTTTTTGCTTTTCCTTTTTCACTCTCCGTCCGCGTCGCCGTGTCTTTTTCTCTCGCGATATATATAACTCGAGTATCGCCTTCACTCGCGTGAAACTCGAATCGGATCTAATTGACTGTTGCGACGCGATACTCTTTTTTTTATTGCGATTATTTTTCGCCGGTGGATACGACGCGAATACACGACGGAAATTTCGAGCGAGAAAGGGCGCGTCGCAGCAACCCCTCCTTTCACGAAACATCCTCTCCTTCCTCCGAGAGGAAGGTTGAATTTTTTGTTAGTTTTTTTAACTGTTAGCGGTGACTCAAATTTCCGCTTTCTCGGCGAGAAGAACCGAAAAACACCGATGACAAAACTTTGCAATACAATACCGACCATTAATTCGCGAGCGTGAAATTCGCGACGCGAAAGCAATCTGCACGCGATCGGACACTTTGCACATCAAATAATTTCGACCAAATACAAATCGATATTTATCTCTAATTGTGAAAATTATTCGGCACGCAAAGTACCGGCTTGCGGAGATCGCCTCCCCGTCGTCTAGAATTCGGCGAATTTTCCGCAAAGAGTTGCGAGATTAATGGGCCGCGCGCGCGCGCGCGAT